ATAATGAACTATTTGAAAAAGAAATTATTAAAATAATCCCACTTCCAATAGCATCAAAAACAATAAAATAGGAATAAATTTAACAAAGGTGAAAAAAGACCTGTATGCTGAAAACTATGAAACTCTGATGATAGAAATTGAAGATGGCAAATAAATTGCCAGATATACTGTGTTCATGGATTGAAAGAATTATATTGCTAAAATGTCAATGCTACTCTAACAGATCTATAGAGTCAATGTAATCCGTATCAAAGTTTCAATGTCATTTTTCACAGAAATAAAAGAAACAATCCTAAAATCTGTATGGAACCACAAAAGACGCTGAAGAGCTAAAGCAATCTTGAGCAAGAAGAACAAAGCTGGAGACTTCCTGATTTCAAATTATATTAAAAAACTACAGTAATTGAAATAGTGTAGTATTGGCATAAACACAGATACAGAGACCAATGGAAAAGAATAGAGAGCCCAGAAATAAACCCATGCATATACTGATCTTTGATAAGGCAGCAAGAATACCCCCTAAGGAAAGGATAGTCTCTTCACTAAATGGTGTTGGGAAAGCTGTCTATCCATATGCAGAAGAATGAAATCGGAATCTCCTCTTGCACCATAGATAAAAATCAACTTAAAATGGATTAAAGACTTAAATGTAACTTTAGAACTATAAAACTGTAAAAACAGTAAATCTTTAAAAGTGTACGTATGTATATATATATATATATTTATATATATATACACATACATATACATACACACATAAACGCACATATTGAAATATTGTTCAGCCTTAAAAAAGAAGGAAATCCTTCCCTTTGCAACAACATGAATAAACGTGGAAGGCATTATGTTAAGTGAAATAAGCCAGACATAGAAAGACAAATATCGCACAATCTCACTGATACGTGAAATCTGAAAAGTTGAACTCATAGAAATAGAGAGTAATTAAGAGTGGTTACCAGGAGCTGGGGAATGGGGGGAGATGTTGATCAAAGAGTACAAACTTTTAATTGTAAGATAATAAGTTCTGGAGATCTAATATTCAGCATGGTAACTATAGTTAATAATATTGTACTGTATTATATACTTGAAACTTGCTGAGAGTAAGTGTTCTCATTCACACACACACACACACAAAAGATGTTAATTAGCTCAATTGTGGCAATCATTTCACAATGTACACATATATCAAAACTTCAAGTTGTTCACATTAAATATATACAATTTTTATTTGTCAATCATACCTCAATAAAGCTGAAAAAAATAAGAATAAAAACTCTCGATGCTGAGTCCCCTGTCCAGATAATCTGATCTGACTGATGTAAAATCAAAATAAAGTACTCATGCTTGGGTAAAATCTAAGCATGAGTATTTTCAGGGTATCAGGGAAGTAGTAAACTTACTAAAAAGTGTTTATGAGAAAGCGTAACATTCATATAGCAACATGCACATATCTGAAGCATCCCGTTTAATGAAGTTTACAATTGAAAAATTCATTGAACAACTCCACCCAGCTCAAGATATGGAGTGTTATTAGCACTCCAGAAGTCTCAGCACAGGATTTTAAAAATTAAACTTGAAAACAAAAATTGAAACTCTTCAAATTGCAAGAGTATAAAAATGACCTCAGCAAAGTTATTTTTAAGGCTTTCCATTGTTAATTTTAATTTGCAGACAGAATTGATTGAAAGATTTTTTTTTTTTTGGCCACACTTCTGGTCATGGAAAGCATTTAGTAAAGCATGGGAATAAGGTTTTAATATTTACATTACTGATTTCCTAACAAGGTCATTATTTCTCAAGGTATTGTCAACATAAAAGATGATGTTAGCCTCTGACATTTAATTTTGTTGTGTCACCATTGCTTTTTGTAACTTTTCATGCCTTGTTTATGATTTCCAACTTTCCCTCATTCCAGTTATATATGAATCAAGTTAGCCCTTGTAGCTATAAACAAGAAATATCTTAAGTGTACTTTGGAAAAAGGAAGGTAGAAATCATGCTTATTCTTTGTGCGTTGGCCACTGATTGACAGTGGCAAGGCAGGAGAGAAAACCTGGAACGATTCAGAGTTCAAGGGCAGGGATGTGTGAAAGGCAGAGTCAGAGGAACTGAATCCCTAGTGAGAAAATAACTAAAAATAAAAGCAGTCATGCCTGGGCTTGGTGGACACATGCAGACTGCAGAGGCCAGTGTGAGTTATGAGTTTAAGAAGTCCAGCAGGTGAAATTCTGAGCTATATGATGGAAAGGGAGAACCAGAAAAGAGGCAGCCATAAACCAGGGAGACAAGGAGCTCCAGAGAGCAAGCTCAGCCAGACCCAAGGAGCCATGCTCTCATCAGAGGCTAAAAAGAGAAGAAGGCAGGCCCGAAGGCTGGCTAAGAAGGCATCCGAAAGAAGAAAGGCAAAGAGAGAGAGAGAGAGAGAAAAGCAGTACTTCAGCTGCTGTATAAATTTGCCAGGTTGAGCCCTGCATGAGTAGTTGGCAGAGATGCTAAGTGGGGCAGCAATTCTGGCTACCTACCTGGAGCAGCCCTTATTTGAATGGATAGACTAGCAGTGGGTCTGCAGCCATGATGAGTAAAGCTGGACTCTGCATAAGCTCTGCATTTCCTGTTCACCTCCTTAAACCTAGTTCCTATAAACAATTCCTGAGTAGCTTTCCCACTTGAACCAGTGAACTGAGTGGGGCATGAGTTAGACACTGCTCTACCGAGGAAGGTTCTGAGGGTGGCTGAGGTCCTGAGATTTCAAATTAAAAAGAAAAATCTCCTTGAATTCCTTGGATGGTGGCAGAAGTCAAGCCTCATGGTGGATATGGGGACCTGCCTGTATGAGGGCATCTCTGGCCCAGAAATGACCAAAGAGTTTAAAAATGAAAAACCCATCACTTGAGCTTGTCACCCTAAACTCAACCTACTTGTGTTCAGCAAAGAGAAGTTCTCTTCAGGTCAAGTAACCAATTCCTTATATCTTGCTTTTGTTGTTGTTAATACGATTTTGATTTTCACGTAACTTTTCAGGTTCGTCCAAAGAAAGCATGTGACATGATTTTGTAACTCAGCATGTTAAAACTCAGTTAAAAAACAAATTATAATATACCTAAATACTAAAATCTGTGTCTGATTTTAGCAATGAGTCAACTTCACCACCGTTGTTCCCTAACAAAACTGTGTTTCATAATGAAATATTACCTGTTCTAAAACAAAAGCAGAGAAATAAAAAATGAACAAAGAATGAGTTTTTGAAATCTATTTTTTTTGATTAGAGCAGAGGGTGAGCTTCCGAAGTCACATGTGGTATTAATTTATACAATATTCCTATTTTGCAAATTTTAGCCTGTTTGGGCACATGTACATGTGTACATGTGCATGCATGCACACACGCGCGCGCGCGCGCGCGTGCGCGCGCACACACACACACACACACACACACACACACAACCAGAACACTTTCCTAACATATTGAATTTGATTTCTGGATTCAATTGACCTTTCCCTGCATTTCACTGTTTGTAGATGAAGCAACTTGAAGCTCTTGGCTTCTGAGGGGGAGTATTGCTCAGAAACATGCAACCTGTACAAGTGTTCTGAGGCAGCAGGAGCAGTTAGAGCTTAGGCGAAACTTAGGAGGGGATCTGGGAGAATGGACAGGTGGAGTCACCTCTAAAGTTCTGCAGGTCGACAGATCATACACCGAGAGTTTTCCTGCTCCCATTCTAGTTCTGAGTTGCCAGAAGAGGTGGGGCTGAAGTGGAGCTGAGCTTCGGACTGAGCCCACAGAAGCTGAGTAAAGGCACTTCTGTGTGTCTGATATGCATGGCAGTCCCAAGAACAACTGTAAGTCATGTTGTCTTATATTCTGCTGATGATCTATGTATCCTCCCACTTCCACTTAGGGTAGTAGAGGCAGAGGGGAAATGAATCCCCAGGGCTGATAGCGCAGAGGAAACAAATGAAGGAGATTACTTTGAAAACAGTAAAACGCAATAGTACATGAGGCTGTGAGTATAATAAGAAACGATGTGTTGGTCATCGTCCATGGTTCCTGACACAGAGCTCCTAATTCCTGGGAATTTCCTGGGTAATATGAGCATCTTTTGTTCTAATGAGACAACTGTTGGTAGGCTCCTGGGTAGGGTTGGTCACTAGAAAGACCAAGCCATGATCATAAGCTAGGAGCTTTCAGCCCCACCCCCATCCTCCAGAAAGGGGAGAGGGGCTGGGGATTGAGTTAATAATCAATCATACCTAATCAATCATGCCTATAGAAACCTCTATAAAATTTCCTGAACTATGGGGTTTCAAGAGCTTCTGGGCCATTGAACACGTGGAGGTACTGGGAGGGTGGTGAGGCAGAGAAGTCATGGAAGACCCTCACCTCTTCCCACATACCTTGCCCTGTGTTTCTCTTCACCTGTATCCTTTGCCATATCCTTTATAATAAACTGGTGAATGAAAGTTGTTTCCCTGAGTTCTGTGAGCCATTCTAGCAAATGATCAAACCTGAGGGTGGGGGATGTGGGAACCCCCCTATTTATAGCTGTTAGTCAGAAGTTTCAGAGGCCTGGACTTACAATTGGCCTCTGAAGTGAGGGGCAGTCTTGTGGGACTAAGCCCTTAATCTGTGCCATTTGACTCTTACCCCAAGTAACATAGCGTCAGAATTGAGTTAAATTGTAGGGCACCCAGCTTTTGGAGGAGAATTGGTTGGTGGGAGAAAACACCCCACACATTCTGGTGACCAGAAGTATTGTGAGAGCATAGTAGAGGAAAGTAATTTCCCCTTAATCACGTTCACATAACCAGAAGGCCATTTGACACAGTCTTACTTTATACAGATCTCTATATAGAGATCTGTGTCTCCTGGACACTATGAAAGGAAGAAACATGATGATGAGTAGTTTTTCTCAAAGTGGCACTTAGAAGAGTGGAAGAAGATGGGAATGGAGCCTGAAGCAAAATGAAGTGGCTGCCCAGCTGGTGCAAGGCCAGCCTCTTACCATAGTGCGGGATGATGGCCCAGGCCATGGCAGAGGCATAGATGCCACCGATCATCCAGAACATGCAGAGCCAGCTCAGGTGTTCGCCCCGCTTCTCCCGGGCCAGCACTTCAGCAAAGTATGAGAACACAGTGGGTATGGCTCCTCCAATCCTGCCAAGAGGTACAGAGAATACAGGAAATCCGGGTGAGGACAGCTAATGTGAGATGCAAAGGGCAGAGTCAAAGCAAACTCCACAACACATGCTTTCTCCCTATCCCAGCATATCAACGAACATATATTCTCTATCATTTTACAATGTAAAAATTATAGTCTCTGTTTAATACAGGTTTATTATCCCTCCAAAAACTTGAACCTGCAATTAAGCTATGTTACCACAAGGTGGCAGTGGTGCCTGTCTCAGGTGGTTTGTTGAGCTTATCCTGAGATTCCCTTAGGCTTTCAGCTCAGGCTTGAATGTTTTATGTAACATTTATCAAAACTTACAATGATTTCCTATAGTCTAGTGAATATTTTAATTAGTACATTTTTAAAAAGAGATGCTATGCTATGCCCCACTCATGATGTGGGGACTTTGGAAACAGCTTCAAATAACTCTAAGGTGCTGTCTGCAATCTGTATTTACCCACTGCTACCCCACAGCAGCACTAAATTAGGTTAATGTATTGACAAACACAGGAACAATGGGGTCATTTCCAAGGTTAGCTCTGGTCCCAATCCAGCAGATATTGCTGCTAAATAAGTAAACATGAAAGGAACAGCTGTAGAATAAAATAAGGAGCTGGTGGTTTGGATATCAGTAGAATGGAGGATAATGCTTCCTTTCAGTGGAGGCTAGTTATAAGAGCTGCTGGCTGAGCTCTGGGGAGATGACAGAAACAGTGACCTCTACTCAGGGTAAGGGGGCTCAAATGAGGGTCTATGGAATCACAATAGTGCTCATTTCAAGGAGATGGGCCATAGATTTCATCAGAATTTCAAATAGGTCTTGGCCCTAAAACCTCAGGAATCACTGCCTCAAAAAATAATGTAGTAAAGAAACATATTACTATCACTCTAAGCAATATGTAAATTTTAAAAGTATTTTTAAAAAGACAAAGCATAAGTATATTGTTGAGATAACACATAATCTAATAGAGTTAAGACGTATACACTGATTCATTTATGTTCAGATTTGTGTAAATTGCTATTGACATTTAATGCAAATTTGATGTTAAGGTATGCATGTTTATTTATTTAGCAATAACTGATTTTCTTAGAGCCTTTGATATGATACAGAAGTTTCCCTAAATTGCGTTTGTTTCAAATGCAATTTAGGGAAAGGTCATTTTGGCAGCAAACTAGATGTACCAAACAAACCACAGGATTTAGAATGTCATCCCGAATCAACTGGTAAGTGAAAATACGGCACCATTTCATGCATTTGCCTCCGTTTAAAGTGATGCCATAGTTATCCATCAGTGGACACAGGAAGACCACTTAGTCTGGTGCTTTTTAATCTACGAGTTGTAAAATTTAGTTTAGTAGCTATGAACAGTGAACAGCATTTTAAACAATGAGATAGTGATAAAAATATTTAAGTACAACCTAAGCAATAAGGATAAGCATAAGTATCATTTCATGACATTTGTGTTATATTTGTAATGTATAGTATACCTATATAAAATGTATAATGGGTCGCAGTGTGTTTCTTAGTGGGAGTTCCTTTTCAAAGAGTTTAAAATTCCCAAACTGTAGGTATCTGTTTCGCTGGGCTATGACAGAGGTGGTTCTACCTAAAACCCCTAGAGGTGTGGCTCAACCTGTTCAGATTTAGCACCATCACACACAGAGGCAGCCAACCAAATCCAAGTCCATAACCAAACCCTCAAACAAGACACAAATGCATGTGGTGGGTGCTCAGAGCTGGCTCTACATTGCACCATATCAGACTCATACACATCTCTTGCCTGGGCTTCTTGAGGAGCTCATACAACAAATAGCTAGTTGAATTTTATTTTATTTTTATTTTTTGATGGATTGCAGAAATGTATTAAAATTGGAAGACGTCATTTAATTAATCTTTTGCGCCATGACACTCCATCAGGCTGTCTACAAGACTAATGGGAGGCTGGAGATTGAGCCCAGGAGTTTAAGGCTACAGTGCGCCTTAAAAGGCCCCCGCACTCCAGCCTGGGTGACAAGAGTGAGGTCTTTTCAGGGGGTAAGCTGCATGCTTGCTTGCTCTCTGTGATCATCAAAAGCTCTGAAAGCAAAGATAATATATTAATCATGACAAAAAAACAAATGTGTGATGCTTGTTAGTACAGTAAGCTACTTGAATTTTAAAACTCAACAATATTGTGAACAGATTTTAAGTGGTTTCATTATAACACACAACTCTAGTGTGAAATAAAATGTGTCACAAATCATTTAATGCTCCTCCTTTTTTTTCATTTAATGTGAAGAATCCATTTCTCTGCACCATAAAACCTCAGTTCCCTACTCTGTGGCTTCACTTCTCCATGCATAAAAATAGTCCTAGTTTTTACTGACTTCTCACATACTGATTAATGTTTCATCAGGACTCTGGACATTCTGTTAATAGCTGTAACTCACACTTCGTGAAGGCACAATCATATGTCAGGATATGCCAGCCCCCTCTGGACCAAGATAAATGTACTCCAGTATGGCTATAATTTCTCTTTCTTTTCTTTTCTTCCCTCCTTCCTTCCTTCCTTCCTTCCTTCCTTCCTTCCTTCCTTCCTTCCTTTCCTTCCTTCCTTTTCTTCCTTCCTTCCTTTTCTCCCTCCCTCCTTCCATCCTTCCTTCCTTTTCCCTCCCTCCCTTTCTTCCTTCCCTCTTTCCTTCCTTCCTTCTTTCCTTCCTTCCTTTCTCTCTCTCTCTGTTTCTTTCTTTGCAGTGTGGCTATAATTTCAAGTGGAAGACTGTAGATTTGCCTGTTAGTTTTAAACAAATCACTGTTACATAAGAAAATAGGAGCTTCCAGGCAATCCAGCTGGTTTGTATTTAATGCCTCTTTTTCATGTGGTTGTTTTGGCTGGGTGTCTCTCAATATTTGTTTGTAAAGCAGGCTGCAAGGAACTCTAATACTATGGAATAAATAAGTCTGAAGAATTAGAGAAGGCTTTTATTTAAATCCTTTGCAAAGTTCTTTAGACTCAGTGATATATAAAACAATCTAAGCATTCACATTTCTTATTGTGGGCTGATAATCTATTTTGGGGAAAATACTACTCCTTGTCCTACTGTGATATCCTTTAAGCAGAGAAAAACTATTACTATTATTAGTATTTCACACCCCATAAATCCCTTGAAGGCAGGGACTGTATCATATTCATTCTTGAGTCCCCATTACTTGGCCCAGTGGATGTGTGTTAAGTGTTCACACAGAAGAACTGAATTCACAGACTCTTCAGTGTTGTAGTTGGCATACCAAGTCTCCTGGAGTAATTTGTTCTGATGATTTAAACATCTCCAGTGAATAGAAACATACACCTCACTTTCTGAACCAATATGGCCATAACAGACGTTGAGGGTGCTGGACTGAAAGTTTTGACAGCAATGGAGCCCCCAAAAAGTTCGTGAGTTGCTCTATGTCTCAGTTACTATGGTCACTCCTTGATCAAATGACCTGATGGTCCTTGTCATGGAGAGAGCTCCTGGAACTGCTCAGAGGACACGGGACAATCCCAATGGGCATCCCAGGAGCTTCTATAACACCTGGAAGCATTTCAGAAAGAGGTTGCAGATGCTATAATTATCATCAATAAAAATATTTAGGCAAGAGATAAAGCAAGAGCTTTCAGGTCTTACAACATAATTTGGTTCCTCTGATAAGTTTTGAAAATAAGAAAAAACTGCCACTTCCTGGCCCCCAAATCTTATAAATTAAAAAAAAGTTTCCCATTATGATTCTCTCTTAATATTGTATGCAAAGGGTTAAAAATTTCCTTTTTTTTTTATTATACTAAGACACAATTTCCGAGACTACATGAAGAAATAAAAAATTTAAATGAAAGCCCTTAAATTCCCATGTAAGCCATCTTAAATGAAGATGGTTTTGCCCCTCTATGTTCCCTGCAGATATCTGGCAATGTTTTGAGACCTTTAAGTTGTCATACCTTGGGGGGTGCTGCTAGCATCTAGTGGGTAGCGGCCAGGGATACTGCTAAACACCCTACAATGCACAGGACATCTCCCCACAAAAGAGAACTACCTAGTCCAAAATATTAATAGTGCTCGGATTGAGAGACTTTTGTTATGGGGGCCTAATGTAGAAAACAGAATTGGTTTTATATAAAAATCCAAGATATAAGACACAGAAATATCTTTTACATTACCTGATGGGTAGCACATCCTTAAATCCAGTTAACATGGAGAGCTTATCATTTGTTATATGATGATCAGTTAGCTACTGTTGAAATCTGCTCAAGTTCATTGTTTTCAAGTTATATTTAATGGAATATTTACATAAATGAAGCATTGAGATCAGAGTGGCTTACGAGCAATTTTTCTCAGTATTGGATATTGTCTATTTTAGTAGCGTCAAAAATGTAAAATCTTAATTATCCTTGGTAATAGGAGGCACCGAAAAAATAATAATTGAAATTCACACTCTATATAGGTGTGAGATTAGCCAGGTTCAAAATAATTTAATTTATACAAATGAAATAGAATGTTAATATTTAGAATTTCAGAGTTGGGGTTATTCCTTAAGTAATATCAATTCTAGGTTTTTGCAACTTTATTACAGAAATATAAAGAAACTAAAACATTCTGTATCAAACAATTCCTAGAATGAATCAGGACCTCCCCAGTGCACAGGCAAACAGACACAGACACACTCACACACACATGCATAAAACCTCAATAGCCCTGCATATCACTCAATACTAGGCATCTGGTAAATATCATGAAACATGTTCATTTACTTTCCTCAAAAAAATCTAAGGCAAATTCACAAGTGGTATATTGTGTAAGGCAAAGGATGTGTTAGCATTACAGACAAAATTTCTCCTCTGTTGGGAAATGTGAGGCACACAAGTTAAATCAGTTTAGTACAGCAGGAGGACAGAATATGCCAAGCCTTCCTGTCTGCACAAACCTCACTGGGAAACAGGGAAGCCTGACTGTCTTAACCGTGTGAATT